GGTTTTGAGCCATGAAAGGCCATATTTTGTTCCAAAAAGAAACCAAAACAATCTGAAAACTCTTACACTGGGCTAAATAGAGTTGCTGATTCTAATTGTGAAGTTCGCAACTCTTCATAATGCTTCATTAAAAAATTATGCGAGGTAAGCAGCAGCAGACGTTTTTAAGTGTACCTAAACAGTGCTGTTACACCGTTTAGAAAGCTTCTCAACCTTGTAAAGAGTTGGGTATTGAACTCCGGATCCATAAAAACCCTATTACACAAATTTCCACATTTTTTTTGAAAATTTTTGAAACGGCCCCTTTTTTCACAGTGACACCATATGTTTGAAGTTTCTACCGTACTCCTACAGTAAGAATGAACGACCGGCGATTCGCTCTACACTGTAAGTCTAAGTTGAACCTCGCTCTACAAAATGGTACCTAAAGCTTCTCGAAACACTTCACTACAAGAGAGTTATTTACAATCAAACAGTGTGCACATCTTTTTGGGACACCCTGTATAAGTTGATTCATGAATCTCGCAGCGAAATTCTTGAAAAACCGTAATTTATTTAGCTTGAAAGGGCGGACTCTTTTTTTTTCGTTTTACCTCAAAGGAAGAAAGTGTGCAAAAAATCCATATTGGCATATTGAAAAACTACAAGATGAATTGTCCGAGCAGACAAACCTCAAACTTTGCCTTTGTTTTTACTTTTGACTTTATTTGCTCTTTTCAGATGAGAAATTCGTGCTGAATTACGTAGTTTTATTCAGTTTAATCGATGTTTCGATTTTGTTCCCATAAAATCTCTAATATGCAGTGGCGGACAGGTAGATTGATCTTGTAGATTATTTAAACATTTTTTAAATTCTTTTAAAATTCAGATCAAGCTTGTAAAATATTTTTCTTGGGGCATGGCTGCCGAAAAAAAGTGGCCTTTCTAGATTTTAGGGTTAAGGGCCCACGAAAATCTTGAACACCCCAAAAAATTTCTCGGAGTGCGTGGCTAATTCCATCACTGCTAATATCATAATATAATATATAGATTGCTTTTTTTTGAATGTATAACAAACTCTACTCTTTGTTGGACTCTACAAGAATATGCTGTATAAATCAAAGAAGTTTTTGTTGTGATTTTTTTTCAAATATTTCTAAACAAATCTTTCACATTTTTTGGTGCAAGACATATGTAACAAACTAACTTGATTGGATTTCAAGATTTTTCATTCAAAGTATTTTTTCTCAAAATGTCGCGGGGTTAATACATTTCCCTTTCTTTCTTTTCTATGATATCATTCTGATTGCTGTTTTTGATCGTTTCCGGACGGTCTATGCCCCCTAATGGATGGTTACCCATCCTTGAAGAATGGCTGTGCATTTTTCAGCGTCAGCGTTTTTCTGGCGTTTCCTTTCATCAATAGTATGCGGAAAAGCTTCCAGACGGTAATGTATCCAAATTTATTCGAATGAACGCATCGAAGACCTTAAAATGCTTGGAAGTGAGCTATGATCTGATGTATGAATGAACGCCTTCAAACATCAATCACGCTCAGTTACAGTAGTCCTCATTTCAGCAACGCCCCTTGTGTAAATGCACAACTTTTACGAATTTGTACTTGTAACTGCACGAAAAAGTGCGAACTTTTTTTTTCTATTCCATGCAATTGTATTCGTATTACTTTGGATGCTTGTATACGCTTATGATAGTAGATAACGCTAACAGCCTGTTCTACTGTAGACTGCAAAAGTTGTGCAATTGCACAAAGTGACTCGAGTGAGGACGACTATAATAAATAATAATTGTCAATAAAAATTGCACTCGCTGGATAGATAACGGGCTTTCATGAAAGAAAGATATATTGAGTATACAATAAACGTGAAATTACGAAGAACCATGGCGTACGCAGTTTTTTGATAAATATCATGAAAACATGATTATCTGAGTTTTGGAAATTACTGTTATTGTTTTATTATATTATTGTTTCACCAGCAAAACAATGCTCTCTAAGCATCTTGCGGGTCCTAGTGTGCTGTGCTGGTCTCGGATGGAATAGTTTCAATATTTTCCTTAACGTGCTAAGCTAACTAAATTTTTGGTTTTATTAAGCGTTGGAGTCAAAATTCTTTTCTCAAAACACTTATCATCCTTATATTTTACATTGGGTCGTCCCGGGAGTTCTGTGGTTTCTTTTTTGAGAATTTGTAACATTTTGCCACATTGAGGAATTTGCTTTTTTGTATTTTTATTGCACTTTTTAGATGTATACCTTGATGAGCTTTAACTATACACTCTTTGAAGAGATAAAAGTATGGCCAATCATTCTGATCATTTTCAGTCAGGTCGCCAAAAATTTGGAACGTTGTGGAAAAATTTGAAATCGCCAGAACATAAGTTCTGTGACCTGCCCTTATGAACAAAAAATTGTGCTGTATGAATGTTGCGAGAAGTTATGAATTTCGAGTTTACTAGAAAATGTCAAAAATAGGATTTGTCAATTCCTGAAAATCAATGTTTCGCAGAGAGGTACAAATCGCGTAGTTTTTTTCAGGCAATGAATAGGTAGTAATACTTATGTACTGACGATTTCAAATATTTCCATAATGTTCCACGTTTTTGGGCGACCTAGCTTAAAATTAAAAGCCTGAATGGTCTTCGTTTTCCATTTTTATCTCTTGGATGTATATTAGAAGTTTGTAAGATATATCTGCAAGCGAGAAAAATTCTTACTTTTAATAAAACTACAAAAAAGCAAATCCATTCAAATAGCAAAAAGTTCCAATTTTTAGAAACAACAGAACTTCACACCTAAAGCTGGTTACATAATCATTGCGAGTGTACGCAAGCAGGGTGTGTCGCTGAATGTAAGAGGTTGCGGATTTCTCGCAAAAACGCACCTCCATGCATGTGAAAGGGTGCGTATTTGTTGCAGATGACCGCGGCGAAAGCCCCATTTCGGCGACATGTAGACCTCTATCCACTACCACATAGCTGACACCAGTATTCTGCTGTTTCTCAAGCAAATTTTCCAAATTCACAGGAATTCACGGCAAGGGCCGGTCTAATTTTTTGTATTAGCGCTCATTTGTAGTGACATTTAAATAGCTTTTTCCTTTCCAAGAAGTTTTGTGAATCGAAATTTGGAGCGAAACCGTTTTGAATAGCTATTTTTTGGCTCATTACAATACTTTGAGAGAGGAAAACAGTCTATGAACAGACGGCGCTGAATCGTTAATAACTATTATGCGGGGCTTGTCAGACTATCAGGAAGCGAGCCGTGCTTCGTTTTGAACGTTCGTCTCTATCTCGTTTTGCTCTTTTCTCATCACATCAGTTGCATCCACACGTTGTAAACAACAATTTCATAAACTATGTACTTATGAGTGGTTTTTCATCGTATGTTCGAACGATTTAGTGGTTTGCAGTAAATCATATAGCTTAATGTTCTCGGCTATCGAATATTTATGCGTTTTGCGGTCTTCGAATGGCTGGCTGCTCGGCACAATACGTAGAGCATTTCCTTCAGTTCTAGTTCTTCATGCAGAAAGTGGTATATGGCCATTTATTTGGTTATAGATTGTGCTGAGTTGACGTGAGAACACGATGGTGAACTTTTGGTTGCCAAGCTTTTCCCCTGACTAGACTTTACCTTTTTCCAAGACGAGTGGGTTACACATTTTCGTGAGATTTATGCCATTTTTTTCCTTTAAAGGAGAAATTCTATAATTTTTTCCCACAAAGGACATTCTGCATGAGCTGTTATGTTCATCTTACAAGGGACCCGTCATTTGCAATGCGGAAGAAGTTACGCCCTCGCGAACGCCTCAAAAAATGAATAGGTCCCTTTATACACCTACCGTAACCGATGGATTACAGTAGTGTTTGTGTCAAAATATTTCTCTATTAAGCTGAGTTGAGTGTACAACTTCCAAATATATTTGTTTAAAGAGAAGTTGTGAACAATTTCGCAATTTTGCGAATCGTATTAATCGCGAATATCAAGAATCCCGCGTAAAGAAGCATCCTATTGTCGCAGTTACTTAGCAGTGGAGGAGGCCAACTACAGTAGCCGCTTCTGCTTGAGACCGACAAGATAGTTTTGGCAGGATCAATGGTCATATTTTAAAGGCTTTCTCCAGGGTAAACTGCCTATGGTTAATATCTCTCATTAATGGATCAGAATAAATCCTTGGATTTTAATCCACTCATGACGAGGCAGTTTTGGTAGGATTCATTGTCAAATTTTAGAGGCTTTCTCTGGGGAAAACTGCAGTTAAATCCTCTCATTGATAGCTCAGAATAAATCCTCGGAGGTTATTAGACTCACGTCATATGAATTATACCAAAAGCAGCTAATGAAATGAAAAACATAAGAGTTTTCTGCGCCTTTCCCGAGCTGGGCTAAGCCATAGAGAGAAACTTGATATCCCGTTATGTGTCCTGAATATGTGAAGATGTTTGGCAGCAAGGAAGCGAAAACTGTTTGGCGGGGTCCCGCTTTGATTACACTTCTTATTAGGCAGTTGGCAACAGGGGGGGGGGGGGGTTACTGCTCCTCGTTGGCTCGCTCAAGCGACACATTCGACTACCCATAGCAGTGCTTGGGCCGGGCTTCACAAAAGCTTGGCTGAAAAAAACAAAAAGAGCTTGGAACGGGCCAAATCGTGCTTGAACTCTGAAGTGTTCAGCTGGAAATTCTATGATAATTTCTCACCGATTTCTTGCACAATCGCGGGCGTTTTTGTCGGAGCCGCCGAGCCGTTTTGCATCCACGTTCTGCTCCACACTCTTCAACCCACGCATAATCACGATTTCTCCCCTCTCTCTGGCTCTCGTTCGTTCCTTCATTTATTTGCTACAGCTATAGCCGAAACTCTGAACACTGTCAACAAGACTAGTCCTGTTCTATTTCGCCTATATGGTGGGCTCTATCATTTGCTCTTGTCGAGAATCTGCTGCGAGTATACGGTAGAAGTACTCCTGAGAAGAAGTTTGTCCAAATAATGATTGTGCTTTCAGAAAATAGTACGGTGAGGCTGAGGGCAGCTGAATAATTCACTTAGAAGGGCATCATGGCCGATGGTGAAGTTTCGCTTGCCGTATTGCTCGGAAATTTATCTCATACAAGGTAAATTTTTTGCTCATTCGGATTTTAAATTTATTGCAAAAATGATCATTTTGACCCATTACTTTATCCCTATAGATTGCAATTTTATCAAACTGGATAGTAAGTATGGCGCAAGAAATGCTGTAAAATTCGTCAAAAAATGCCCAGAACATTCTTTTTATTTCTACAACATTTTTCACCATATAAATCGTATGCCGTTATTTATAACATATGTTAAAATTTTGTTTTGCAATTTAAATTTGAGCAAAGGAGATATGGTTTTTGTGCCCGAAAACCACAACTTAGGTTACGTTTTTTTTTAGTCGACTTCGTCTTTTTGGGGGTTTTTACGTTTAGGGGTTAGGGTCAAAGGGACTTCGTAAAATTTTGCGAAAGTCATAGGGGACTCCGTTTTTTGCATTTTCGGAAAGCCACTGAGTGCCGAGCCCCAATGATTATTTCTGTTTCGAAAAATTAGAAGATCTATGTTTTCTTCTCGTTGTAACAGATTCAATGATTCATAAATATTGGTTTTGTTTTGCTGCAAGACTTATGCTCCAACCTATTATTATCGAAACGAAGGAAAACCTCGATGCAGTAACCACTTTTGAAGTAAATAAAGTTTTGAATAATAGGCAAAGTGGCCATTGCCAAACTAAGAATTTTTCTAGAAAATAACGAAAAGTCTTCTTAGAATGTTGTTGGACATTTTTGGGCTTTGTTGAAGTGCCATTTTCATAGACCTATTGAGATTTCGGAAGGCAGTTGACGTAAGTGGCAATGAAATGTTAGAACTTCTTGTATTGGAAGCAAAATAGCATTTTTGAAAGGCTAGAAGTGCCTTAATCGCAGTTTGCAGCCAATTTGAAGCAAAACTTGCAATATACACAAAAATCCGTGCGAATTTCCCGTTTCAGTTATATTTACTGGACTAAATTTGCTTATGCTCATCGGTAACTCGATTTTTGTGCTGTAAATATGCTCTCTTTTTCATGTCAAAAACATAGATGAATTTGTAAGAGTACAACTTATGAACTGACATCCTCAATATCCCTTGGTGACAAATTAGCTTCTCCCGATGTCCAAGTGCAAATTTTGTACTAATACATGTCATAAGATAGATAACATCGTAAAGTGAGAAATGTTAAATGCGTCATCTATGCAATTAATAGCCTGCTTGAGTTCTAGCAAGAAAATGCCGCAAAAATATTCATCACTGCTTTAGCAGTAACTACGGTTTTATTGACTCATTCTGCATTTAGTTTTAGATTTCAGTCTTGGATTTTCACTTTTATCGATTTTATTTCATTTTCGACAGCAGAATTTAAATGCTACAAGAGTTTTCAGGCTTCAACTTTGAGGTTTTTAATTGAAGTGGAATATTTCGCCGCTAAATTTTTCAGCTTTTGAAATCTCTGGAAGTTATGGAAAACAGTTTAGCAATTACATGAACTGTTCAGCCTTTTTGAGAAAATATAAGAGTAGATCCAGGGCTCGGCGCGAGATGGCTTTCCGAAAATACAAAAAACGAAGACACCCCCCCCCCCCCGACTTTAGCGAAATTTTATGAAGTCCCCTTTGCCCCTTATCCGAAATATTCGAACCGACTAAAAACGAAACGTCGACTAAGAAAACCTGATTTCAAACCCACAAAAACGATTTCCCTTTTGCTTTTTCCCCAAAAACGATATCCATCTTGTTTGTAAGCCACTTGCCAAACCCTGAATAGATCTCAGACAAATTATTGATCAGCATTTCGGGAAAAAATAAAATAAAATTAGATCCGCATCCTTTTCTAGTTTGAGAGAAGGACAGTGCATTTTTAGTACCCTGAGTCTTGGCTTGACTTACCTTGCAGCTTATTTTATTACCTAGCGAGTCCCGTGTGGAAAGTAAAAACGACATAAATAAAAAAAGAAATCCAATATAGCTGGGTTAATACAACGAGTGGGACTTTTACTCCTTTACTAGGACAGACTGGCACGATCGTCCCCGTGCACTGCTTTCAAGTTTTTGGACGAGTTCAACAAAGGCAGAGTGTAAATGAGATATTCTGCGCGAGACGCACGATGCGCTTTTACTCAATTACCTAGACTTTACGCCCTTTATGATGAACGTTAGTGCTGCGCGAAGAACTTTGCGAAGGTCGAGTTTGACGTCTAACTTCGTTTTGTCGCGGAACGTTTACCTTATTGTTTTTTTCATCTTTATTGTTCATCTCCAGCAGTTTGCCCACTTCCTCAATCTGGATTTGGCAGGTTATTGGTGCGAAAATAAGTCTTCTTATACTTGTTTCCTCTTGGATAGGAAATTCCAAAACTTATGGTGAAGTCTTATAAATATCAACAATGGAGAAAACTCGCACATTGGCATCATTTCCAAGTTCATTGACATGAATTAAAGCACTTCAATCTCCTTTTCTCCCCCCCCCCCCCCCTCCCCCAGGAATTTTGTAACAGCACTTCAACCGTCCTTTCTTATCTTTATCATTAAATTTTACTCATCCTCCTTTTCCACGTTTTTTGATATTTCATGGAGTTTTGGGAATACCAATGCTAATTCAGTTTGAGGTTCAAGCCCTGAGGCTTAGAACCCCAAATTTGCCAAAAATCATCAGGAGAATGTTTAAAAAAAAGAAAAATTGAATCGTGCGTAACATGTCTATGTCAATAAACTGCAACCCCCCCCCCCTCCCCTGGTTTGAAAACGTATCAAGTTTTAATTGCATTTTCCAAATACTTCTTTATGCTTCAAGGTCGGTTTACAAATAGCAGTAAAATGTTGAAACTGCTTATGACGGAATAACACTTCAACCTTTATTAACCCAAAAGATTCAATTTTATCTTCCTAAAAATTCCGATTTTGAAGCCAAAACATACTTCTCCCATTCTTTGTGCGTTTAGAGGAAAAATCTTCGTAATTTTTTCTTCACAAAGTGGTTACGATGATTTCTTCTGCGCGCACAGAACTTATGTTCCAAATTATTGCCAAGGATGAAATATGCTAGCGAAAGATGCTTGCCGAGTTTTCCTAGGATTCTTGATAGGGTACGTACCGGCCGCATTTGATGGTTGCGTAATTATCGAAAAATCATTAATTTCCCTCATTCCACGCAGCATCCATCACTAACAGAGAATGCCTAGTTTAATCCTTCTCTCTCATTCTCGAACCCCCTCCTCCCACTAACATCATCATTCAGAACGGGGGAAGGGGGGGGGGGAAGGGGATGATGGTAACATAAACAAGAAGCGCGCAGTATACCATTAGCGCAAATGAGGGAAAAAAGTGCTTAATACGCGCAGTGGCGGCTCGCTTCGACTTCTGAATGCGGTCGTGGAGCTCCAGGCCCCTGTCTATAACTTCGCTCTATGCGTGCGACACTTTCATAGATTCTTATGCATTTTCCATGAGAAACGAAGAAGATTATTTAGTGATGTTGAAGTATGGTTTTTGAAGAGTTGAGCCTCATTTTATCCATCTTTGAACACAATGTGACGCTATTTCATACTCATTTTTCATTATTTTCGTTGTATTTCTGAATTATTCAATTTTTTAATATTATTATTCGAGTCCTAAATTAGAAACATCTGAGTAAGAAGAGTACTTGGCATGAAAGGTTTGTTGACATGAGTTACAGGAGTATAAGGCAATTCAATAACGGCACTTCATCCTCATTCATGTTTATTTTTTAGCGGTTTTCTCATTTTTATCGAATCTCTAAATTTTTATGCTATTTCCGAGACCAGTACGTGAGTTGGCATGAAAGGTTTGTTGACATGAGTTACAGGAGTATAAGGCAATTCAATAACGGCACTTCATCCTCATTCATGTTTATTTTTTAGCGGTTTTCTCATTTTTATCGAATCTCTAAATTTTTATGCTATTTCCGAGACCAGTACGTGAGTTCAAGCTTTTCAGGGCATCAAGCCTGGAATTTGCCGAAAATTATTTGTAAAAATTTTAAAGAATCGAAAATTGATTTTTTTTTACCTTTTGGGCGGTGTCTAGATTGGTATATGAACATGATATTCTTTATTATTAGCATTTTATTTTGATCTATGCAAACTATTAAAAATTTTGTTTTTGAATTTTTTGCATTATATCGTTCTGGAATAAATAAACATAATTAGCTTCATTGACGAAATCGCACATAACTTTAGCTGATACCGAGGGCATTTTTATGCGAATTTTCTGATCAGTAAAAAATTTTTTGCCAGAAGTCTTTCCAGAAGGTGATTTCCCTCATTTGAATAAACTGCACCAATAAGAAAAACGACAATTTGCCTTATCCTAATCTTTTATTGAACGTGACTTTCTCTTGCTAACTAGCTGAGGTTTAAGCGAAAATATGCGCCCAAGCGTATAGTACACGTTTTTCCCATTCCTTTTTTCCCACAAAATTCTCGTCACCTAGGAAATGCACTACATTTTATTTGTAGTCCAAGATTCTTTTGTTAAAAAATACGCAAGCTTTCGACTTTCAGAGAAAAATGTGCAGCACCTTGACGCAATGTAGCCTAGTCTGTGCCATTTTCAGTTCATAAACAATCTTCTCCTCTTCAAGCCAAGCTGCATGATCTACGATCTCAGTATTAACTAGTAATCATAGACGGAGGTTTAGAAAACAAAACTAGGAAGTTAGTAAGAAACTTTTTTGGTCAAACGTCTTTATTAAAGGTTGCAATTCCATTAGAAGTCTAGGAAACCAATACTGCAATTCAAATTTAATCTTGCAAAAAAGAAATATTTATTTATGTAATATTGCTGGCACACATTCACCAAGCTGGCTTCTTCCGTAGGTCATAACTCTAAGCTTCCGTTATGATTTCATCAGGAAGTTTACTCATTTTACATCATAAATATCCCATTTTCAAAATAGAATTTTACTTGAACTTGTCAGGAGCAGTATCCTCATAGGCTTTGATAGAATCCTTGAATAGAATTTTAGAAGAAGTCACTCCATTATGTTGACCACTACGAGGCTTTGCCGTTCAGTTGTACTTTGGAGAAAGGCTAGCATG